TTTCCCCTTATCATGTCCCACCAGGCACGAGCCACTTTCTCGAATTGGAAAGCAGCAAAATTCACCTTGCTATCCTCGGTATAGTCTAAAGCGGCAAATATGTTGGTCATGCTCTCCAACCAATTCTCCACTACCTCCGAATCAGGTTCACCAATGAATTTAGGTGGGTTAAATTTCAGGAATCTCTCCAAGGCTCTATCTTCCCCTCTATCCTATCCCCCAGTTTGATTAAATGGTCCAGCATCCTGTCTCTCAACTAACCGTTCGAGAATATCAGTCATTCTATTAATGACAGTAGCCGCTTGGTTACCCTCTATGTTCTCTTGCCCTTTGGTCGGTCTAGTTGACGATCCCTGGTCATCCCCATGAGATTGGGCCTGTTCAGTTCCTCGCCCACAGTCTCGACCACTCCTTCGTCCTTCCATTATCCTAGTTATGCCTAGTGTAAGAAATGAATCAATTACGTGGGGAAAATGCTTAAAACAAGGACCAATAACGTAAAATATTGAAAATAACAATAATTTACATTCATTATCATGTTAAGATCCATACAATTAGCAAGTTATGGGGGAGTACAAAAATACAGCACACAGGTACCACAAAGGTACTTTCAGTCACATACGACTAAAGTAGAATCAAATGCCCCAAAAGTAGGCCACACAGTCATACAAAAAATACAATGGTCTTAGCATTAGTATCACCCCAACTAATTCTAACTATATAAGTCAAAAGGGTCTATCACTCTGAATCTAGTCCACAGTAGGGCTACCAGGTGGAATCTCCTCCTCAGGATCCTCCTCCTAATCTGGACTTTGGATAATATCCATCACCTCATCAACCAACCTACCAGTATCTGCTAGGATCCCAGAAACCCGATCTCGGACCTCCTCACCTAACCTAGTAAGTCGAACCCTAACCCTCTGGAGCTCATCACGGGTGACCTCAGCCGTTGCCACCTCACCAGCTAGTACCTCCTCAAGCTCAGCGATCCTCTCACCCTGAGCACTAACCATCTGTCTCAGCTCCTCCACTTCCTCAATTAAATCTCGGTTGGTGTTCACTAACTGACGACGCTTGTCGTCCAGAGCTAGTACAAGGTGGTTTAGGTAGGCAAACGTCAACCTACACAAACATCGAGGATACCTATTAGAGGGCAAGTAGCGCATGCGAGCTCCTCCATCAAGAGCTCGGTAGTAAATAAGCCTAGGAGGCTCTACATGGCCATTAGCATAACCATTCCCATTAGCTGCAGGGGTCCCGTTCCCATTCTCCATCCCTGCAAAACAACAACACTTTTCGGATTAGAAACTTAGTCACTAGCTCGCTCAGATATCACTTAAAGTATGATTAAGTCATCCTATCCCAAATTTTAAGGGTAAGGTTTCTAGTATATCTCTCAAATAGATCTCAAACCTAGCACTCTGATACCAACTGTGATGCCCCCACTTTTCCCTAAGGCGAACCAAAGGTTATCCGCGGGGCGCCTGTCCAACTCTCGCCAGGACTTAAGACAATTCGATTCACGCTTAACGATACATAACGATTAATACAAGCCTATCAAAGAAAAGTCGCTTCCATAATCGAATATCCAAGTCTTACACCACAAGTTCAAAATACATCAGCTATCCAATCCTTACATTAGGTATCTAAAAGATATATCAATTCCCAAAATATACAACAACCAAAATATCTAGTTATTTACATTTGAAACCCTAATACAAAAGTACATCCAAAGGCGTTTCTCCGAATTTCACTTTCTGTCCATTCCTGTTAAGGAAAACAAATCTACGAGGTGAGCAATTGCTCATGAGGCCAAAACACACATGCAAGCACATTGTCCAAGTAACAATCCCAATTAACAAATAAAACAATAATATTCTTGTAATTAACAATTCAAGTGAAATTTAAACAGAAACAATTCAAGGATATAGTAGCTCTTAGGTGCTAATTTCCACTTACTTTGCCAATCTCATTCGTATACCTTCCTGTAATGACTCCCCATCAACCGGGTCGGTATTTTTAATCCGTAGAACTCCACTTGCTTCTCATTTCCGTCCACCGTACACCGCACCGGGCCTGAACTCCGTTTATAAGGCGCTACTATACAAGTAGGCCAAGCAAGATCTCTCTAATAGATCAAGCTTATCATTTCATTCCCATGGCTCATCAAGGTTTCCAACCAAACCCATACCGGCTCGAGTCCCAAGGTCGGCCTATGAGTTTGGGCGTCCCTCATTTAACATTTATGAGTCGTGGAGATTTACTCCAACGATGTATGCAACCATAGCATACCAATTCATTCATTCAATCATTCAATATCATTCAATCGTTCATTTTATTCAATCCATTCAATATATTTCATTCCATTCCATTCATTTCAATCAATTCAATCACGATTCATTCAAATGAAAACGAGTGTGGTAAAGTACACACTCGACTCCATTTTCAAAATCTCCAATCATTAATAACAATTAAGCATGTATCAAGTTCGCATACACTTGACACTCACCAAGTAAAATAAGGAAGCAAGCACAAGCGGTTGTTTAGGCGTCTCCTGTGAGATCCTCTTGAAGATTCTCTTGAGTGCCTGAGCATTAATAATAAACTATTACACACTATCGCTTAAAACCCTTACTTATCGAGAAATATTGCACTCGTGTATAATCTAAGAAGATATCATGAGAATGAGTCTTAATTACTCGTAAATCGAGACTCAAAAGTGGGGTTTAAAAACACAAAAAAAACCTGATTTTCAACTTTGAAATCAAGTGTAAAACAGTCAAACGATATCGAAAGAAAATGGAGAGTTCTAAAATCTCAATTTCCTTTAAGTTCGGAAATTTTAGATTTGACACGCAATCCTTGAAAAATGGTATCTCACTCTCTGTAGGTCTAAAATTGGAAAACTTGATACCGTTGCAAACTAGTTTTGAAGTACTAAAAGTTCCTAGAAGACACTTTTCCATGATTCAAAATGGAAGGCATTCAAATTTTGGCTTCAAGTTGGTGATTTGGGCTCCTCGGACAGATTTGGGGTTGATTTTTGACAAACTTTGAAAATTCGAAAAAATTCACAGAATGCGAACAGCCTCTCAAATTTGAAACTCAATTAGAGTTACAATTAAAGTTTAAAACACAACAAACAAAAAAAGAATCGGAGTTTTGAGCGCCAAGATATAGCAGCTCAAAGTTGCTGAAAATTTCTCACTAAACAAGGATTTTCCAGATTTGAAACATAAATTTTGGGACTTTAGTTGGGCATCGAAATGGACTTGGAATGTCATCAAATTTGGTAGTATTACCCTACCATATAAGGGCTATTCCTCTGTCAAATTTCATGCAAAATTTCGTATGGAAGGTCAGTTAAAAAAGCACTAAAGTTCCAAGAATTTCCAAGGCAAACCTACCTTGTACTTCCATTTTCCTTTTTCTAACTTTTGGCCAATGACATAGACTCAATCCAGTTCATTTATGAATACAAGGTCTAAGAAACATCCAAAATATATTTGCTAGGTGATTGACACCAAAAGTTTCAAAATAACAAGTCCCAATTCGAAATAAGCCATTGGCTAACCCAAAATTAGGGTTTTCAATCACTGATGCAGTTCTGTAATTCGCCCACAACTCACTCAATTCAACTTGGAATTGGGCATGGTTGGTGGCGTTGGAAACTACATTCATAAAACTACAATTCTCGAAGAAATCATTCTGGAATTCTGTCCATAACTAGCTCATAGTTTAGAAACAAGTCACAGCACATAACAGGTTTTCTAACACAGCAGTGAAACAGGACAGTTAACTTTGAAAGGCTGGTACGGTTCACTCAAGTTGAATCAGAGAATGCATTTTATACCGTTAGAAAAATGGAAGTGTCTAGTTTCTAGTGCCACAAACGGCACTCGATTTTGACATCGGAGCAAAGAGTTATAGTCGTTTGAAATTCGCTGCCAGAGTAACTCTAGACACGTTTTCCAGCCATGAAGAAATTTCGAAATCCAAACATTTACCCAACCAAACCAAGTGATTTTTGGTGGAAACATTCTACACAACCTATACAACATATCTACATCAAAATCAAGATAATTTGACCACAAAAAATCACACCAAAAGGCAATGCAAGGACAGGTAGAACCGGCCCTTCTTCCATTTCAACTTCCTTTGAGTTTCTTTTTACTCTTTCAACTTAAATCCACTAGATTAACACTTAATCAACATAAATATCATTCAAAATCATCAAATCAGTCCAACAAGTTCATTACAAAAGCTAAGATTCAAGGATTGGATGATTAACTATCTCCTTAGATGATGAACTCAGAAATTTTTGGTCCTTTGAACTCCAAGAAAACCGTGAGAATGAAGCTCTTTTCCTAGTCCAAGATGATCTCCAAGTGGTTTTAAGTATGTGGTAGAAATTTGAAGTGATTTGGTGCAAGAAAGCGAGGTGAAATGATAAAGGTTTTGCTCCTTCTTCTCCCTGGTGTTGTTCAGCCACGATAAGAGAAAACAGTGAGAGTGTTGTAGCTGCAAAAGCTTTTTGAGTAAGCTTGGTAAGTGAGAGGTTTAAGTACTCAAAAGTCAACCCTCCAATAGTGCGTGTACGCGCGCGTTTCGTGCTCGTTTGCTCTCGGATTCGTTTCACTTGTGCACTAAACCTCTAATGCACTTCTATTCATACTATTATTATTCACTCTTAATAGTTTAAAAATAAAGGTCTAAAGTCCTTCAATTAATCGCGCGTGCAAAAACGCTTACTTTCGATTTGTGCGCGATAAAACGAAATTTCTAAGGAATTCTTATAACGATAGTAAAACTAACTAATACTTGAGTAATTAAACATGAAAATAACCCTTTTAGGGTAAACCAATAAATAAGTGAATAAATCGATAAAATAAATAAATAAATAAAATAAAATAAATTACGAGTCCTCGCAAATTTAGCAGCTTTATATAAAGATTTTGATTTTGCTGTTGTAATTGGGTAGAAAATAATGATTATAATCAAACAGATTTGGGATCATTCCCAATTTGTTTCCCCTCTCCCAAATTTCCTCCGTTGTTATTCATCCTCTTGTCATTTCCTGCCATTTCCTGTATCTTCTTCTCTTAATATCAATATATGAATTTTGAGCTATTTTCCTGTTGATCTTGTTGATATCAATATATTATTGCCTTAGACAGTTACTGTCAAATTCTGATTGCCATTCCATTCGCCAATTTTAATCCATTGTCCTTAGCTTGGTACCATCACAAATTCAAACCGCCTCCATCACCAAGTTTTGCCTCCCGATGGCAATTAGGACTTTAGGAAGACCCAAATTTCTCATCCAACTAAATTCAATCCACAATTTTAACCAAGAATTCCTAAACCGAGTATTCAAACAATTCTCCACAGATCCAAAAAAAGCCCTAACTTCGATCCCGCGAAAATCCCATGAAAGGAACCTAATTTCCCTTTCAGGTCTCTTTCGCAGGTATGGTTTTCAACCCTCTCAAATCAGCAATTTCCTCAAAAGTAATCAATGTTTACTCAATTTGAAGCCATCTCATGTCCAAAAGTCCCTCAAAATTCTCTTATCTTTGAAACCCTCGCAAGAATTTCTTTCTTCTGTTGTATATAGTTGTCCTAGTATTTTAGACTTTGATTTTCTTGAAAAATGGGAAACCAAGTTTTCTGATATGGGAATCTCTAATTTTACATCTTCAGCCATCAGGAACATTTTTGAGGTTTCTAGGAGATTTGAGTTGGGTCCAGATGATGCTTTAAGGTGTGTAATGTGTTTAAAAGGTTTAGGGTTTAGTGAGAGTACTGTGGTTAATGTTTTGGAGGCATTTCCCTTGGTGATCATGATGGATGAAGATAGAATTCGCGATAAAATGGTATTCTTGATGGATATTGGTTTTGAAAAAGATGATGTTGATCGTATTATTCGCCTGTTTCCATTTTCTATGGCATTTGAGGTTGGGAAAAAGATGAAACCATTGTTTGATGAATTTGAGGATCTTGGTTTTAGCTTGGATGTGGTTAGGTGGGAGGTCCTTAGAGACCCTCGAGTGCTTGGTATGGAAGTTGGTGAGCTTACACAGTGTTTGAAAATGCTGAGGAGTTTGAAATGTAGAACTGTGATTAAGGAGAATATTTTCCGTATTGGAGCTTTTAGGGCCGGGTATGAAGTGAAAATGAGGGTGGATTGTTTGAGGAAATATGGGTTGACATATAGGGATGCTTTTACAGTGTTGTGGAAAGAGCCAAGGGCACTCCTGTATGAGATAGTGCACATTGAGAAGAAAATTGATTTTCTTCTGCAAACTATGAAATTTGATGTTTTCTGTCTGGTTCAAGTTCCAGAGTACTTGGGGGTAAACTTTGAGAAAAAGGTTGTGCCCCGATACAATGTGATAGAATATTTGTGCTCAAGTGGTAGGCTTGGGGATGAAGTAGGATTGAGGGGCTTGATTAAGCCTAGTCGGTTGAGGTTTTACAATCTCTATGTGAAGCCTTATCCAGAGTGTAAGAAATTATATGGGAGATATGCAGCAGCTGAAGTTAAAAGCAGGCATCCAGCTGGAATGTGGAAGCTTTTCCAACCACAAAAGCATTCAGAATCTAGAGAAGATGTTGAAAACATCAGGTCTTTCATGGAGTCTATAACTTAGTTCAAGGTTTTGTATGATTTCCCAGACAAATGCTAGGGAGAATACTAGTTGTATATCAGTTTAAGGTATATCAGTTTTCCATGTCATTGTTTCTGCAAATAATCTGATATAACCATTTGGAATTGATTTTTCACCATTTTCTTTGATTAACTAACTTATGCTTCTGCTGTTAGGCTTGATATTGATCAAGAATACAAGTTAATAGAAAATATGGTCTGAAAGAAAATCATTGTCACTATGATTCAACTTCTTCAAGGAAAAGACTTCAATGTCTTCAAATATTGCTTTCTCCTCTAGCTGATTTACTAAGACAGATGGATCATTTCATTGCACTCAGGTGTCATGCCACACTGTAAAAAAGAGCTAATCTTGCCTTTCATTGTTTTGTGAACTTTCTCAGAGTTAGGCTTATCGTTTCAGTTCAGTAGATGGTTCGATGTGGGAGGCACTGTGCTTATATCATGAAGATACTTCCTGTCATTGCAGGTCAGTGCTGTTTTGCTTTACTGGAACTGAAGTTGGGTTGCTATTAAAAAAGACGATGTGCTATCAAACTGACTTTCTTTCTGGTTAAGAGTTATATTTTCAATGACACACTGATTGCCAAGATGTAATTTAATGTGACAGTGCTCTGTTATGTCAACACACACACACACATAATATCAAACAGCTATTGCTGATCAAACAATTCAATTGCTCTTTGTCTGTGTGCATATGGAGCTGTATATATCTTTGGTTTATGATTCCAGAACTTGGAAACTGTTCATTTGTGAAGGCTTCTTGGGTGTGTGGATTAAGTTAAATGGGATTGACCTTAATATTTGTTCTTTCTGGCAGTTGTAGGCATCAGTGCTATCCAAATGCAATGGTCTTTTTACTCGAGTGCTTGTCATTTTAGACAAGAACTTCCAGCTTCTGAAGTACTAAATGTTGATCACCTTCAAGAAATAATTGTTGCATCATTTTGCAAGGTTATTGAGATCGTGCAATTAAAAAAATAATAATAAATAAACCGCAGATAAAGAGATGTAGAGAGAGCAACAGAATATGAAAAAGGGAGAAGGTTAAATATTTGATAAACAATAATCTGATACCTTTTTTGGTTGTAGCCAATTAGGCTTGATTAGTCATGGTTGAGACAGGAAACAATAAGGATTGAGTTTTTTTTTTCCTGCTGCTGCTTATTATTCTTTAAATGCTCAACTGGGTTTGGAGGTTTCTGAGCATGTGTGAAGACTATTTGGAATCATTTTCTGAATTTTACATTTTTTTGGAATTTTTTATTTAGAATTAATTGTGTATTGTGGTGGTGATTTTTTTGTTTTTTTTTATCATACTTCTTATGACACTTACTTTTTACCCAACTACAATGTTGTGGGGAGATATATTATCTATTTTGCTCTTATTTTGATGTCTGGCCTCTAATTCAACATTTGTCCTTTTTGTAAATTGTCTTTTGTTCTCTTTTGATCATATATCATTGGTCTGCTTGTCTTGGCTTTCTTTCCACCAAAGGTCATTGGCCTTTCATTTCCCACCTTTCTGTGGAGTGGATAACAATATAAAAATTTGGTCAATAATAGTTGAAGTGCTGATATTTTCCTGAGTGTTCCTAAAATTTAGGCTTCATGTCAACTAATCAATCATATTTTTGCAGGTTTACAAAGTTTTTTAGTTTCAGAAATTTAGCATGATCCATTTATAGTATGGACATTATTGGCCCAACATAAGACATAAATAAAGGAAGGTATGAAATCAATATACAGCTACTGGTTTCATTAGACAGTGGAAACTATTGTAGCACCTGCTATCATCTGTGTACAGATATTTTTTTCCTCATATTCATTAATCTTGTGATGTATCTTAGCAGGGCAATCAAATACTATTTAGCCAAACTGCCAGAGAATAGTTACTCATGATTGCTGAGGTTAGTTTCCAACATGAAGTGTGAATGAAATGCAAAAAAAGTTTATCTCTTACTTTAGCTCTTTTTAGATATGACTGGTCGCAAGAGAGAAATTACAGTCAGTTTTCTTTGTTTTGGTTGTTTGCTGAGTCACTCCCAATGTTAATTTTTTTCTTTGTTTTAGTTGTTTGGTGTGTTGCCATTATCACCAGTGAAGTTGGACCTGCTGACTGCCTCAAATATTCTGTTCTCCTGAATTTTAGTTTAATTTGGTTGCTCTTATGAAAACTGATAGCGTATGTATATTGCAAAAAAATACAAAGCAATTTTTTTCCCTTAATTCGGAGAAAGTTATCTGTCAGAAGTTAAGTGGTTGAGTTTTTGTTGCATTTGGGGCATAAATATTAAGTCCTCGAGACAAAACCACAATCACATCTGTCTATGTTTACAATAATTGGTTGGAATAATTATGTAAGAAAATTGGTAGATCCCAGTTTAAGTTTAAGATAGGTGAGGGAGCATAATGTAAGTGTTCGGTTACTTAAGTAGGATTGCTTTAACAAATGAGCTCTTATGATTCACTTGAAGATAACGTTGAGGATGAGTTGTTTAATGCTATATTTGTCAGTGGGGATTATGTTACTTTGAGGTGGATGGTTGGTAATAGTAGTTATTTGGACCAGGATATGATGATAATGTGCAATCATAAGGTATTTATAAATCTGGAAAATATTTTTTTCTGGATTATATATAGTTTAATGTTTGCTTCATGATTTGGCCAGGCAGAAAATTGGTGAAATTTGATAAATGATTTAACTTGTCCTTGTGTATATCATTGTGCGTTTTTATGGTAAGAAGTTGAATTTTTTGTCATAAATATATATTGCATTGCACAAGGAAGAAACTGTTTCATGAACCACTTCTTACCAGTGAGGTTTAAAACCAAAATCATTACCTTGTATGCTATATCTTACTAATTTTTTCTTTATCACCTAATGGAATTGGTCCATTATGTTCAGGTAGTACTTGAGGGACCTAATATTCCGTGTTTTTTTCAAACTAATTTTTAGTGTTTGGATTACTTTCTGGGGTTTCAAAAACTTTTGCTATATGTGATTCCTGTTGATTTTTAGGGTGTGCATGCGAGAAGAATTCGAGTTATTGGAGAAGTAACATGTAATGGTTGCTGCTCATGGGAATCTTTGGGATCAGTCATAATGGGATCAGTCCTAATGTATCTTGACAAAGCTAACTTCCCAAGAGGTGAGGAGTCAAATTGATTGGAATTGTTAACATGTTGTCATTATCTTAATTTTGTACAGTTTAAGAGACATTTGAGCCTTTCCATTATCAGGTTATATAGGTTTGGAACTTTCTACTGGTACACCCATGCTTTACGAATTCGAGGATGGAAGCCTAATTCAAAAGGGAAACCCAGAGGCACCAATGCTGGGGTTCATGCTTAACACTAGGTATGCAGTTTTCTAATAAGAGGAAAAGAACAAAGAAAAATAAGGTTTCTAATAGTTATTTCCTTTTTTTTTCATTGTATCTTGTAATGATTAAAGATATCAGCCACTTATGAATTTACACTCAAAGTAATGTTGACAAATTTTTTTTTTTTTAAATTGTGCATATTTCTTGTTTTTGTGTGCTCACCAGTATGTATGGTGTGTATTACTTGAAGTGCAAAGATACATAGATTTGTGTTTTTTTGGCTCCTTTCTGTAGATGTCAGCATGTTTGAGTGATGTATCCTTTCACCCTATTCCATTCGTATTTCCAGATTTTGAAGGAATTAGCTGTTGTATCTTCAAATTTACTCTATTTGGTTTAAGAAAGTAATTTTTTTTCTCTTCAAATTGTTGATTTAAAAGCTTGTTGTTTTCTTCAATGAATGGTGAGTAATGAATGTACTTACTTCAACTTCAGAAAGAACAAGGCAGGGACGCTATTTGAAGATCAAATGAAGCTGCAAAGAGCTCTCTATAAAATGAGATGATTGACTTTGATTAGTGAGAGAAGTCGGCCTTGAAGAGTGACTCAGATTCATGTGTCAGTATGTCATACAAAGGCTAATTCAGCAGCATTTTTGTGGCAATATAGCTTTTGTTTGAGCAAGTAATGAGACAAATTCACTGAAATTCTTTGAATGCCAGAAAAAATGAGGCTACATCTTTACCATCTTTACCAAATGGTAACTGTTGGGGAGACTTGTCCACTTCAGTAACTGCAGAAAATGTGTGTATGTTTGTCCTGTTTTGTTTCTTAAGTGCTGGAACTGGTGGATGAAGCTGTAGATGCCGTAGGAAGAGTGGATAGATTTCTTGTTTGTCAATTTCCAATTTATTTTCTTGTAAGATTACAAATAGTTTCTTATATGATATTTATGCTCTTATGAGTGTTTATTTTGTACAAAACAAACTAGAACCAGGAAATAAGAGAGGTTCTTGATTGGTGGAAAATAACCATTATGGTTTTGATCTTATCAATATTTATTTTAAGCCAACAACTCATTAATCATGTTGCATGAGTCAGTCAGGCATTTTATGACGAGTATATGTGCTCAGATGGGAATGTAAAAAGTTTTTTTGTTATCGGGTGCGATTTATGCCTCCTAGCTGCTCCATTCAATGTGAAGTACATTGGTTATAATTTTGGTCTCCACGCAATTATTCCTTCATACACGAACACAATAACCAATAAATTTGAACATTAGTCAATTTTGTTAATCATATGATAGATCTGATATCGCCGGAAATAGTTATCATGAGATTAAGTGTAGTTTACTCCTTTTTAAAACAAACGAAGATGGAGCAAAGATACTTCATGATGGGTGATGCTATGAAGTCATTAATCATTCCTTTTCAGGATGTTTCAAACCTTTTCAAGTTTCGCGTGCACAGAACAACTTAAACATCATTTAGAAATCAGGAATATGCTAGAATCCAAATGAAGTTAAAATGATAGATCTTTACATAAGATACTAGCAATTGTATTGGCATTTTCGACCTTGATCAACTGTGTGAAGGTTATAATGTCTACATATTTGTAAATTAATTTCACGAATAGTGTGCCATCATATTGTGTTGGTTAGACATCCGAAAACTAGATCTCGGCCTTGGGTCCTTGTAGTTGTCTCTTGACCAATGCTGTGTAAATGCCATTCCTACTTAACAGCTCATCGTGAGTTCCACTTTCAACTATCTGACCATCAGAAACCACTGCAACTGTGTCCGCACTTTTTACAGTTGAAAGCCTATGAGCTATGACAAGAACTGTCCTTCCCTTCATTAGTGAATCCATGGCGTCCTACATAAAGCATCACAATATTCAGGGTATACAGTTTCAGGAAGCTCATGATTTTAGAGAAGAAATACATCAAGCTTTTCACATCAGACCTGAACTAGGTATTCACTTTCGGCATCCAAAGCACTGGTAGCCTCGTCCAAAAGTAGAATTCTTGGGTTCATCAGCAGAGCTCTAGCAATTGCAATTCTCTGTTTCTGACCTCCTGAAAGCCGTACTCCACGTTCTCCCACATGGGTTTGATATTTGTCAGGAAAATTAGATACAAATTCATGTGCATTGGCCATTTTCTGCTCAGTATATAGAAAGACAATCAGCAGACATATATAAGCCAGTCCCAGGCCATGAGGCATCTGAGGTGGAACTACTTACTGCTGCATTTTCTATATCAGCACTGCTGGCTTTTCCATCCAGACCATATGCAATATTCTCTTCAATAGAACAGTTGAAAAGAACAGGTTCCTGGCTGACTATGCTAATCTGTACTTTCAACAATGCATGACAATTTTACTAAAACCCACAGATGTATGAGCTAATTGGAATGAATGAATTGGAAATTGTATACAGATGTTGTCCATTGAGGTCCAAATGTCCAAGAGCTGTCTTCTCAATTTGATAAGGGACATCTCAATCCACGAACAGTGGTGAAGTGATTATTTCCTTCACACTTGAAGAGGAGCAGTTTAGAAGTTAAATTACCTTTCTATGTAGATGCTGGTGGGCTATTTCTACCAGAGGAACCCCATTCAACAAAATTTTTCCTTGAACAGGGTCATAAAACCTTTCAATCAAGTTCGCTATTGTTGTCTGCAGCATAGAAAGAGAGAGAAAGTGGTGAATATGGTATTTATGGTGCATATATTGGACTTTTGAATTTTCAATCCAGTTCAAAGTTTGATCTATTATACATTATACTGCAAGCTTGAGTTATGGGGTGCATGACCAAGAAGCGATACCTTTCCGCCACCACTTGGACCAACCAGTGCAACCTTTGAACTGGGTTGCAGTTTCAGAGTTATTCCCTGAGTTCAGAATGAACAAACTGTAGTAAGGATTATCTTTAGTTTCAAAGCTGCTAAAATTCCATCAGAACTCATAATAGGGGAGGCATGATCTACCTTGAGGACCATATGCTTAGGACGGGATGGATAGGCGAACCAGACATCATCCAGTTCCACTTCTGCATCTTGATCACTACGATAGGAAAATTAAATAAGATAAAGTTTAGCATCTTCAGCCATAGTTGAATAAGATAATAGTAATGTGACTAAAGAAGCACACTTGGCTGATATATATTTGGACTAGCAATTAGAGAAGTTAATTATGAACTAAGGAACATCGTAAAGAAGCAGAACAGGAGGGGAAGAATCTGAAAACAAGATACATATCGCATGCATATAGCTAAAAGGAAGAAGTACCATAGGAGCATTTGTGGTGATTGTTATAGAGGAGAAAATACGCATTTGAGTGGCAGATGAGTATCTAAGGGAAAACCATAGCAGTTTCTACCTCTTTCAAATGCTCTCTGCCTTTTTTAACAAAGGTGTAAAAAGGAAAAATCTTGGACTTCAATTGTGAATTGCTAACTTGTTGCACCTTGAAATATAGAGGATTCCGAAGGGCTCTAATACAAATTTAGCTTTCACCCAAGATCTATAGGATTTCAAGTCCTGTGCTCAATATTCCCTGTTCTATACTTTGATTTTTTCTAATAAAAGGGGGATAGCATCAAGTTGTAATGCACTTGACATATTTGTATTACTTCCTATTACTTATGCATGCTAGGTGAGAAAATGACTTCGTGCAGTCTGAAATGTTTTATAAGGAAGTACACATAATGAAGGAGTCAGTAAAATGAAAATGATTTTCAAACTCAGTCAATTCTTTTTGAAAGCATAGCTAAGAGATATATTCGTGAAAGCTACAGCTCCTTTTTCTACATGGAAAATGACAATAATCCTTCTATCCCACACTTGAGCTTCTTCTGAGAAAGTAAAAGATGAGCAACTAAGTAAAGAATGAAGTATCAAATGTTGGACTGACCCCAATGGACACTTGCTTCCTGATTTTGGCATTGATGAGACACGATCCAAAAGCTGAAAAACCCTCCTACTTGCTCCTGCAGCTTTCATAGCTACTGTGTACAATCCAGATAGTCCAGATACAGAAGATCCAACTGCAAGTTGTAAGGAGTAAACCATGTCAACAGGAAGTTCCATATTTGCTTGTGTAAGAAAGATTTTGCTAATACTTCCATTATAAAGAAATGCTTAAAAGGATGAAAAAATAGCACAGTTCACCACTGCATGCTTAATATAAGTGGAGGCAGGGCATTACCAGTTAAGCTATAAAGGATGAATGAAGTAAGATCCCCGGGACTCATAGAGCCTTTGATTGTTAGAGTGGCTCCATATATCACTACAACAATGACAGATAGTGTTGATGCAGCATTTAGACTTCCAAAAAACAGACCAACAGCTTTCTGCACCCAAAGCACAAGATACTATAATGAGTCTTGCAATCCTAATATTTATACAACATCGCTATATAATTAATCTGGCAGAGAAAGAGACTATTCTTTTCTCTCTAACTCCTTAAAAATACACAAGCGCTCTAATCTACTTGTAAGCCATGTCCTTCTTATGAGTATAACTCATCAATCTATCACAGAAAGCATCTTCAATTTGTCTATAGTTGAAAAGAAAGCATTGGGGGAACTTACTGCCTGTTTGAGTCCAAGCTGTAGTGTCTCGTCTACTTTCTCCGAGTAGCGTGACATCTCAAAATCTTCCTGAGCAAAGGATCTCACCGTACGTATGGCACCAAATGTTTCCTGAACAAAACTCAAGAGATTCTCAGGGAAAAAATGGGAGAGGACAAAAAGTAGTAAGTTTCTCAGGGCATGGAATCTCAAATAACCTGTGCATCTATTGACTAATTAACACATTTGAGTTCATTGATATTATAGGTTTTTACCAAATTAAGTAATACTTGGAGCCTATCGCTGATGAAAACTGAACCTAGCAAACAGTCAAAGGTCCTTGTTCCTGGTCTTACAAACTCACTCCCCCTCCCTCTTACAAAGCTTAAAAAGAATTTCTTCATTGAGAATGGTAACTACTAAGAGCAGTTAAACATAGGACTTAATGTAAGATTTTAGATCCCCTACCAGTTTATATCAGCTGAAGGTGCAATTTTGGGTAAAATACTTGTGTACTCTTTAGTTTGACTTGCTAACTTCATTTTTCAAGATTTTTGAGGTCTTTTGTATTTCTAAAGGTGAATTTTTAGTAATGCAACAACCAGATGAAACAGAGACTTCTGTATCACAAAGTTCCAGTTTCCTGATCAACAGTTCAAAACAGCATAAAATTAATACAAGGTTAATGACAGTTGTATCCCATTTATTCAATAAGTTTGTGATACCACTGTCTCTGACCTCATATCAACTTCATATGAAGTTTTGAAGTGTTCATGGGGAAACTAGAACTTTGTTGTACAGCAGCCTAATCTGGTAGTTGTACGATGAAAATTTAAGTCAGTATATGAAGCACTGCCAAGGCTTTAGTGTGTGCAACCTTGGAGTTGTTCCATAATCTGGTAGTTTACAACATTATTTAGTGGATTGGTACTAATGCTGAATGCACTAACCTCAGCAATTGAGGAAGCTACGGCAGCAGCAGCTTGAGTCTTGTGAGAAAGTTCACGAAGATAGCGGCCAAATTGACGCACTGCAACAGATATGAGTGGAACGATGGCCAAAGCCAACACTGAGACACAAAAGAGTAAACACAAAGTATGCTAACATGTTAGAGTTTAACAAGAAGAATTAAGTCTATTGAAGTATGCATAAGATACGGCTAGACTTACAAGTCAACTTCCATGATGTTGTCAGCATGAATCCAAGACCTATAAATGCTGTAGAAAGATTCCTCAAAGCTTCTGAAAGGTTGGTAGTGGCAGCATTCTTTATGATCTGAGTATCTTCAGAAAGCCTACTTAGGAGCTCTCCAGTACGAGTAACATCAAAAAAAGCTATCTCCTGGTAAGTTTATAGGAAATGTAAATTGAGTTTATTGGCAAGTAAACAAAGGAGTATGTCACATGTCTGGGATCCATATGATTAAGACAGAATCAGTAATTGGCCTTCGATAGCTGCTCTGACCTGGTAAATGAGGTGGCTGAACAAGTTCTTTCTCAACCTAGCAACAACCCTTTCACTTGCAGAAGAGAAGAGCCATGCTCGAACTGCTGTGCAAACTGACCTGAAAAGCGCAGAACAATATTGGAGATGGTATTGTTACTAGAATCTTTTGCTTCAGTTGGAAATATTACATTCTTTAAGCGATAATCTTGTCCCACAATATCAGCATTTTGATACAGATATATTAATCCCTTAAATTATTGTCTACGGCAGTCAGAAAAATGCAAAGCCACACTTAAAAACTGCAGGATTCAATTATGGGCATAAAAAACAAAAGCTTTATGCAATCTTGAAAGTGAACAATACACCCAAAAGGCAATGAATAATACCCAACAATGACTATTAGAAATATATCTAATATGGTACTCTTGACAGCTTCTAAAGCTCGAGATTTCTGTTCAGGTGTATGGAGATCACCAGACACGATATCAATGATTTTCCCCCCAAACTTCGGCTGCAGATGAAATATTTTAAACAATGATAAAGCAACCAGATGATATCTTAAATGGTCAATTTGAGAGACAATAGATAGAATCTGTGCTCACAATCAGTATGCTTGATGTCGATGCAATCAAAAGAGCAACTGTGCCAATAATCAAACTCCCTGCTTCAGGCTTTGCCTGTGAACAACCAAGTTCTTAACAACTTGTCAAGAATCCAATAAATCTATGAGATTTTACCGGCAAACATTATTGACTTACTAGTGAAAACACTCTAAGGAATCCGACATTTGCGGGCTGAATTTTCAGATAACACAAAATTGGTTAGCTTGATTATTAGCCATTGCTCTTAGCAAGAAAGCGTCATGATCCAGCACACAACTATTATTGTAGAATGGAACTTTTGAATCTTGATTACCTGCACTGCATCTCCATGCTCAAGGTCTGTCAACTGACCATTTTCCTGATTATTTTTCCCTTTCTCTGCCTAGTGTTGGCACAAAAATGAACGAATAAACAAAAGAAATCACCAAGATAATGTATACACCCATCTATTAAGGCAAATGTTTATGCAGATCGAACATATCCAATAATCCTCATCCCATTACCGAAATAAATTCTTCCGTTTGACTTGGTTATATATCTCTTACTCTTAATCTTTAGCTATTTCAACGGTCTAAACAACAGAATTGCTTAATGACTGTCCAGAAAAAAGTGCTTAATAAGCTGAACCATAAAAGGATAAAGAAATTGAACAAGCTAAAGAAACGAGAATTAAACAGTATAAACTGCAAAATTTAACAACCCAATAAGAGTTTAGCTGCCAAATTATCTTATTTGAAAGAATCCATCGAAAATGGTTAACTGGAAACTCACATGTTTGTTTAAAAGTGGAGTTCTTCCACCTCTAAAGCCATGCCCATCCATCCCACCAGAGAAGCCGTCCATCAATTTGCTTCTCAGCTTCTTCCTGTTAAACAGAAGTTGGGGAGATGTGACTCGGTTAGACTTGACTAGGGGGCATGAGTCGTTGCCGTACCAGGAAAAGGTCATTAACCTACTCCTAAAGAGTGGGGACTGAGGACTAGGGACTAAATTCCAAAAGTTGACTAGTCACTGCCTTCAAATGAGTGGGATCGGGTAGGATTGCAAACGAATCGAATCGCTCGCGAGTGTTCGAGTCAAGCTCGACTCGAGCTCGATCAATATCGAACTCAAATCGAACTCGAGCTGGTTCAAGTCGAAATTGAACTCAAAATATTAAGCTCGCGAGTTCGAGTATATATATATATATATATATATATATATATATATATATATATTATTTTAAGTATATATATTTTTTTTATTTTTATTTTAAGTATATATATATTTTATATTTTTATTTTAAGTATATATATATATTTTATATTTTTTTTAATTTTAATAGTAAAATTACATATATATCCTTAATATTTTATTATTTATTAAGAAAAAAATATTATTTTATTTATTTTTTAAAAAATAAAATAATTATTTTTTATTTTTTTTGAACTCGAGTTTGAAATTGTCAGCTCATCGAGCTCGAACTCGAGTTCGAGTTCAATTAAATTATATCAAGACTCGACTCGATTAGGCCAAAATTCGACTCGACTCGACTCGTTTGCAACCCTACGGATCGGGGACAGTAGAAGAGGATATGCCGCCCCAAGCAGGGCTAAATCCAGAGGATGGTTCACGGCCACCTTCGCACGCTACCTTATAATATAATAATGGGTGAATTTCAATTTAGTGCTCCAAAATGGAAAAAAGTATTAATTCAGTCCTTGAAAGTGAATAAATTTCGATTAACCCTTTTAAATTGGAATTTTTGTTCAAATTAAGCTCTTTTGTCAATTCACTATTAATAACATTTAACCAAACTTTGCTCCTATAGTGAAATCTACTAATTTTTAGGGATTTTAGAGCAATTTAACTTCTCATCTAAATGAGGTTAAAAAAAAAAAGTAGAATAGTGCTCTTCTAATTAGATTTGGAAGATTGAAAATAGCAACATTTTTTTTAAGATTAGAAGAGCAATATTTTATCCTTTTTAGCTCATTCATAAATAAGATAATTGCTTTAAAGTCCCTAAAAAATAGGTTGGGTTTCACTTCATTATTAAAGTTTATTCAAATATTATTAACCAAATATGAAATGAGGAAAAGGCATATTCGACACAAAATTCTACATTTAAGGGCTTAATTGTGACTTAATCACTTTTATGGGCTAAATTGACACTTTAGTCTATTTTGAAGGGCTAAATTGAAATTCACCCATTATGTGAGGACTCGCAAATTTTCTTATTTTAAATTCCTATTACGAGTTCATTTAAATATTTATTTGGCCATTTACTTCGAATATTTTATTTCAACCTCTTTATACTCAATTACATGGAACTATAACTTATTTATATTTTTAAAATGACTTGCTTCAAAATTTAATTTTTGAACCCCGTTAAGTGAGAATAGTGAATGCGCATTTGGAGGCAATAACCGATTCGAGAGTATAATGAGATTGGAAAATTGGAGACTTATACATTAGTTTTAAAATAGGTATTTTTACGTTTAAGTACTCAAGTATTAGTTAGTGATACCATCGTTATAAGAGTTCCTTAGAAATGTCGCTGTACAGCGCGCGAATCAAAAGTTCACGTATATTGAGACGGAGCGGTTAATTGCCGATTTAAGAAATTTATTCTACACTATTAAGAGTGAATAATAATAGTATGAATGGACGTGCATTAGATGTTTAGTGCACTAGTAAAATAAACTCGAGAGGAAACGAGCACGAAACGCGCGGACGCATGCGGAGGGAGAGTTGACTTTTGAGGCAATTTGAACCACACATTTAAGCTTCCCAAGGAAGCTTCATTTTCAGCAAACACACCCTCTCTCTTCACTCATAGCAGCCGGCCACAAGGAGGAAGAAAGAACCAACATTTATTCTTCATTTCACCAGTCAAATCTCACCCAAATTACTTCAAAATTTACACACATTGCAAACCACTTGAAGATCAACCTAAGCTAGGAAAAGAGCTTGCTTCTCACGGTTTTCTTTAGCTTCTTAGAACCGAAATTTTCTGCCTTAGTCATCTACAAAGGAAAACAACGATCAACCTCTTAAAACTTGATTTATGGAAGTTATCTTGCACTTGCAAGCTCATAAATTTATGTGGGTAGTTTTATATTGTTGGAAATCTTGTGAGTGGGCTCTATGAAATCCCACAATGGCTTGATGAATTGATTTGATAAGGTTTGATGTTATATATGTTGGATTGGTGCTTAATCCAGTGAAAATAAGTTGTATTGTGGAAGAAAGCTCAAAGGAAGTGAAAAGGGAATTTTACCGTTTCTGCCCATGCTATTGCCGTGTACTTTGGTGCACTTTTTTGTGGTCCAATTGACTTATTTTTGATGTAGATATATTGTATAAGTTGTGTGGAAAGTTTTCACAAAAAATTACGTGATTTGGATGGGTAAATGTTGAGATTTCGAAAATTTACCAAAGCTGGAAACGGGTGTCCAGAGTGCTCTGGCAGTGATTTTGTTTTGGCCATAACTCTTTGCTTCAACTTTGGAATTGAGTGTCGTTTGTGGCATTAGAAACTAGACACTTCGAGTTTTCCAACGGTATAAAATACATGCCCTGATTCCACCTGAATGAGCCGTACCAACCTTGTAAAGTTGCATGTTCTGTTTCTCGTCTGTACTAGAAGCCCTATTTTGAGTTGCAACTTGATGCTCAAATTTGAGCTAGTTTTTGATAGAATTTTAAAATGATTCCTCCTAAAAAATTGTAGCCTTATGAATGTAGTTTTAAACGCCACTGACCACGCTCAATTCCGAGTTGAATTGAGTGAGTTGTGGCCGGATTTCAGAGCTGTCTTTGTGAAAGAAAACCCTAATTCTGGACTGATTTATAGCTAATCTTGATTTGGGACTTGTTGTTTCAAAATTCTTGGTGTTAATCACCTATCAAACACATATTGGATGTTTATTAGGCATTTTCTACACAAATGGACCGTGTTTGAGAAGATTTCATTGGTCAAATGTTTAGAAAAGGAAAATTTACATACAAGGCAGATTTTCCTTGGAAACTCGTGGAACTTTAATGATTTTGTTAACCGATTTTCCGTATGACTTTTTCTATGAAATTTGACATGGTAGTGTAATTATACCAAATTTGGTGCATTCTGAATCCATTTCGATGCTCAACCAAAGATTCAAAATCTATGTTTTATGTAGACACCAAATTCTAAAAAAATTTATTTATTTATTTATTTATTTTTGTTTTAGTAATAATTTGTATCTATTTTAATTGGTTAATTTCATGATTTTAGTTTCAGACTTTTAGTATTTTTTATTATCTATTATTTTATTTTATTTTAGTTTTATTTTATATTCGTTTTCGCCCTTTTAGCTGTTTATTTTTATTTTATTTTTTTTATATTGTAACACTTTTTAGCATAAAATTTGTCAAAAGAGAAAATTGTTCATAAAAATATGTTTTTATTTCCTTTTACTGTTTATTAATCGGAAAAAGAGAAAAAGAGAGGAAAAATCATTAATCAAACACAGGAAAAATCTTAGCATTTTGTTGCCAATTTTGTACATTTTTATTTTTTGTTTAAATCGTTATTTTGTATTATTGTTGTTTAATTAAGTGATTAAAAAAAAGAAGAAAAAAAAGGGAAAAATCCACGTTTTGGTTTCGGCTGCAGTAGAAAGGATTTGCAGCTGCATTTCTCGGCTATTTAGGTTTTGGCTCCGTTCGATGGTCATAGTACAGACCACCTGGCTTAATCCAGAAATCTCAATGGTTGAGCATCAAGAACCATCAGCTGGTTCCCCAAAATGCAGCCGATTTCATCCAAACCATCGTTGAGCGGGTTTAGTTTTCTAGGGCCATATAAAAGGAAAGAGAGATGGCAAGAAAAGGGGATCTGGGAGGTGGACGGCTAGAGAAAGAAACCATGGAAGCTGGGTGGCGGCTGAGAGGTTGAGAGAATAGAAAAAAAAACTGGAGGTTACGGAGGGACTAGAGGAGAAAATAGAGAGGAACGACAGAGGGTTTTGGGGGGAGCTGAGAGTTTTAACGGCGGAGAAAAGCCAGAAAGCTAGTTGACGGCTGAGGGTAGCGTGAAGGCTAGAGAGAAAAGGAGGTTAGGGGCAGCCGAGAGCAAGAGGAGGAGAGAACCACCTTGCGAGATAGAAACTGAGAGTGACGAACCAGCGGAGAAGAGAAAAAACTGGAAAGAGAGCAAAAGGACAGGGGTTGCCGGATCTCCATACTTTCACTTGCGGTTTCCTTCACCAAGGTTGCAGCAGGTTACGTTGGTCTATTGTGAAGCTCAATCATCTCTCAAGGAGTCAGCCACCGTTGCTGTCAACTGTAAGGTCCCTTTTCGTTTTTTTTTTTACCTGTAGTGTTGTTAGCAAATTGATGCGAGATATAGTTATCGGCTTGCCTGTCTCCTGTCTCTGATATTCATGTCTTCCTAAGGTTTCTATCTTTGATGAAGGGGTCAGTCAGGTTGTAAATGTTTTAGTTATGTTGTATATATTTGGGTTTCATGATCTTCAATAGATTTTTATTCTTAACGTTTTTCTTGGTTGCTGTTTCTTTTACGTTTTGCAATGTGATGATGGGTTTTAGCCGTAGAAGGTATGGGTAGCCTGATCTATGTTGGGTTGGGAAACTAGATCGCATAATTTGTGGTTTGAATAATGAAACCCACAGAGGTTGCAACAGACCTTCGAATTTGAATGATGGAATCCTTGATTTCATTGCTGAAAACTCAAGTTTGGAGCTTGATTAAGTTTTGTTGCATTTTACAAAGAAGACTGAGATATGGGATTGAATTTTTACTTTGTTTGGATTGCTGAAATTCTGGCTGGGCTGAGATATTACAACAATGTGTGCAGAACCTGTTCTTTCCTTGTTTTCTAGTCGGGTCTTAAGTCTGTTTTGGCCGAGTGAAAGTGGCATGAACATATGTTGCGGCTGAGTTTCTTTTGCTGCATTTTCTTTGTTG